ACCTTCTCTTTCGCATGAATGACTCTATTTAGGGAAGAAAAATGTGGCTAAAAAGTTATTTTTCTTCTTTTTTATCCTGACTTAATTAATACTCTCCACAAGAAGGTGAATTGTATACAAGTGGATGGCTGTCAAAACAAGTATTGTAGCAAAAGGCTCGCTTGCTGGGGACTTGATGGGGTGACATTCAATAAGTGTACATGAAATAAAGATAGTTAAAAATATTGGGGAGAATTAAAGTGTTTTTTTTTAACTAAAAAGTAGGGAAACATCAAGGAAAGTTGTAAATATATTCGCGTATTTAGTTCTCCTCCTATCGGTTCAGCTGTCAGCGTCTGTCAAGGTGTATGCAACCATCCGTCCATCCCGTAGCCACCCATCCCTCTATCCATGCATCCTTCCAGCAGTCCATTTCGAATCCATCCATCGTAGTGTCTCTGCACTCATTTTCTCATTCATGGATATTTGCTTGAAGGCTTTTTTAGTGATGCAAATTCCCTGGCATCCGAAAAGTTGACCACTCGCACAATTGCGTGGCTTTCCTTCCAACCCTCTACCCTCTCAGCCTTTCCATACAGTTGAGAGATATCTTTTTTCATCTTAGCATGCCTTCTCATGTCATATCCAAGAGAACAAAATTCCTCAAACCAATTTTGAAGAAAGAGAAATATATGCGTCGCGAAATTAGGCGCATGCAGTGAATGGCTTAGTATGTGGATGGTCAAGCCAAAGGATCGGTCAAAGCCAGTTGGCGATTTGCAACCTCGTGTGGTCTGTCCTATGAAGAACAGGTAAGGCGACGCCTCGCCTAATCACCTTCAGCATATCCACCATGAAAGCTGTCTACGAATTGGACGTGAGTGTTTGTCTCATTTGGGAATATGTGATACCTAAATGACAGACGACAGATGACTGACTGGCATTGTTAGGCTACTTCCATTTACGTCCTCTACTCGAATTTATTTTAGGAAATGGACAAGTTGCAACGCAGTATCCAGCCTTGAGGAGGAGGACGCCAGAGTATCCCTTCAAGCCTGTTTACAAAGTGGGCACAACTGTGCATACAACAGATTCGACGAGGTGCATCACTGACTTCACTATCCAATCTCCCCTCGCCTCTATCCCCATGCAGTGGCAACCATAACTCACTTACATTGAAATGGCTGACAAGAAGAAATATTCATAAAAAGCAAGAAGGACAATTTACAAAGGAAATGGGAAATGACGCTTGTTTAAATGCACTGCTAGAGTGTAGGGTTTTACTAGCAGAAGTCAATCTAAAACACATCAACGACCTTCGATGATTGCCAAAGGTAACCACACTTACTGATTACTTTAGCGACATTCCCTCATTTAGTTGCTCTTCATTAACTCATGAGGCAATTTATATGATCCCCATCAACAGAGCTGACGTTTATCTGAGCACTTGTGACATGTCACAGCGTCATGGTTTGAGAGCGCTGCGCCTGAGATACAGTGTAGCGTCCCGAGACTTCCCTAAAGGCGAAAGAAGACGCAATACTGGGGCAGAATATATGTTCAGCACAGAGCTACTGGAACGACACGAAGGCCAGCCCACCCAGCGTGGTGCAAGAAGGCAAATTCAAAAGTCTAAAAGAGGCACCTCACCAAAGGTCAACATCCTACACGATCCATTACAACGTAGTCGGTGCTGTAAAGAAACACCCACGAGCCGACCGTGCCAGTCACCAAATTAGCGTGCAACTGAGAAGATACTCGACCTCAGCGTCACTGATCCCTCTTGACAGCTTAACTGGATCTGGAGTTTCGTCCGTTTTGGGAACTTGATTTAGGAACACTGGCCTAAAAGTAGATTTGTGTAAGGAAGGAAGGGATTTAATACAGGTCCATGAAGGACTGTAGGGAGTCTGCAGCGAAACTTCAAGACGGTTCACGGCTAGTGTCGCTTCAGTTGTTAATAGCTTTTCTGCAGAACACGGGGCTGGGATAGATGCCAAAGGTAGACGTCAACTTTAACCCTTCTATTAGGGGTCATCACCATTTCCCATCTGTAGCGTATGTACTTCTGCTCCGGTGAGGTTCATCACACAGAAGTGAAAAACAGGATGCGTGTCCTTTAGGATCGGGTTCGCTTTCCGCTGCCACCAATGTGGCGCCCCGAGACTGCCTGAAGACGAAAGAAGGCATAGTACTCGGGCAGAATATATATATTCATCACAGAAAAGGTGTCTGGGCTACCGGTTTGGCCAGTAGGCCAGCCCACCCAGCGTGGTACCAGAAGGTCAAAATTCAAAAGTCCAAAAGTGGCGCCTCACCAATACTGAGGGACAAACCACCATCGTATTACAACACATTCGAGATCAGATTTTGACCATCATGAGTATGGAGATGGATAAGACATACTTTAAGTCAGGATTGTAATATCATTTTTGAAGTGGACTCGTAGCGGTTCGTTGGTGGGGATGGAGGAGGTGCAACATTGAATACGTAAAAGGTGGAATAGGATTTTTGTGTCAAACCGATTAGCATCTTGTTTATAGCAGTGGCCCAATGCGTGTAGGTTACGTACGCATGCACCATGGCGGTTGGTGAGCATCCACTCATCGTTCGACTCGCACCAGATGCAGTCCGTTGGGACCAGAATGTGATCTGCAGCCTGAGTAGTGGACATAAGCCGTTGCCTTCTATCGGTGTACATGTTATGACTTGGTACTGTACTGTGCTGTGTGCTATACTGCTGCACCTTACCTGGATGCATTGGGAAAGGTTTTTTGTCACACTTGCAGTTACGCTCTTGTTTATCAGAGGGTGCAAGAGTGGGTGCATGGAAGCTGACAAGATGATTAATTTGCCCATTGGGAAATGATTTGCATGTAGGCGATCCAATCGTGCAGTGGTGAAAAGCTGTCCCTGGCTGAGGTGCTTTGTACTCGGTTTCACCAAATGCTTGCTTCCTTATCAAAAGGGTAAGGTAAAGTGTTGAGGTATCCACCACAGCAGAAAGCTTTTCTACTTTGAGTGGCTAGTAGTTGACCTCCTCTTCTCTCCCATATCCCAAACATGGTTGAAAATGTAGACAGTGGCATTTTGCTCGACTGCCCTGATTGGCCACGATGTGCCAGATAGACTTTGCACGTTTTAGCAATCACTGGAAGGTCAGCGCGCATTAAAATATCCCAGACAGAGAAGGACGGAACCGTGCCATGCAGCCAGCACCCTTCAATAACATGACGAGCTGCCACGTCGTGACTGCATCTCATTCATACTCATCAACAACGAAGACATTTGTTTGGAGGCCATTGTCCCTCCTGGTTAGCAAATTGGCGGAGGGACTGCACAAAGTGGCCGCCGGGTAGTCCATGTGACAGGACAATTGACTTTGACGGCTGCAATATGGTGACAGCATTTGTCAGCAATACTTGCACCACCGAAGCAAATCAGTACATCCGCCGTCGCTGAAGAGGAACTGCATGCGTGAGGTTGTCCAAATCCATTTGACTACGCTACAGGCTGGAAGTGGACCGGTGGCAGGATTTGCTACACTCACCCATCGTGGACTTGCGGAGAGCGCATGCCATATACTCCTTTCTGTCTCCAAACGCCAAAAACAAGGGAATCATTGGAAGGTGAAACTTAGAGCAAAAGAGTTGTGCAGCGTGCATGCACAGCCAGGACTGGATTATAGAATAGACGATTTTTCTTTTAAAGGAGGATCCTTATAACCGGAGATTTTGCTTGATACATTGGCTGGAAGTATGAAGCTGTCTTTGCAAATCTTCTCCTATTATTTTGAATTGGACCAAGAGTTTTTCTAACCATGCAGACAAGTTTTGCCACGTTCTCTTTTATTGCCATAGACTGGCTCCACGCGCACGTGGCCTATTGCGATGTAGGAGGTGGCGCTGACGACTGCATGGATGGTGGAGGTTAGCAAACCACATGCAAATGGAAAAAGTTGCCAATTGCTGTACAAGAAATGTAAAGCATGAAGAAAAAACGCATCCTCCTGGTCCCAGCTTACTCGTGTAAGAGGGGTCTTTGCAAATAACCACCCAACTTATCTCTCCTCGCCTTGACAGTCACGCACCTCTCGTGTTCTGCAAGAAGGCAACTGTCAAACGGAGGGCGATATACCACTTGTTCCTAACTTGGCGACACCTGTCACGCTGGTGCTGTGATATTTGTGCCTTAAAGTGGGGACACACATGTTGCGGGACGAATTGGCACATTCTTTACGTACCTAATGGTAGCTGGTTGGTGTCCAATGAAGACAATAGGCGATGGGAAGTGGAGAGAGTAGCAAGATGAAGGGATGGGTGACCTCATTTCGGCAGGGTTGCACTAGCTGTTGTGCTGTATGAAGTGGTCCGCCTATAAAAATAAGCGTTCTTACCAATGGTGATTGGCATGTGACATGCCCTGCGTAGTTGTAGGGCAGCACCTCTGCTTGATTGGTGTGAGGCGGATTAATGGTCCTCCGTCAAAGCAGTTCACCAAGTTGACGAGATCGTGGATACATCACGACTTCACCATGGATCCACCACCCTTAATATGTTACATCCACTGTTCTCAACTTGTGGGTGGCGTTGTGATGGTCAAGGTGGAAGGACCCCCGGCCATACATTCATAGCTAGAGGAGGGTCGCAGTTGACTCTGAGAAAAGTGTTCTACAGTGTAGTAGAAGATGTTTGTTTCGCATTTACATGTGTCTGCCTAGCCTCATTAGTCGATGGATTGGCCATTTCCAACCGGATGACAGGACTTAACTCTCACCCATTCTGCATGTCAACACTCTAGCCCTGAAATGAAATGTCATTATCAAGTGTTATATGACTTCAGCGAGGAAGGAATAAAGTGAAGAAGCGGAGGTAGATAGTGGAATGTCAAGCACCCCTTCAAGTAACTTTCAACAGAGGAGACACTTACTAATCAGTTGCCTTTACTTTCGACCTGTCCTGGAATTTGGCGTATCGTCCAAATCACTTTTGGACTTTTCGCCTCAAAACATGCTTCCACTGTGCCAGTGGGGAAGAAGATCAGTCACTGCCCTACTCGTGGTGAATGGTAGATGGTGTGGAGCTGTAGAATATGGCCGGGAACTCCTGCTATCAGCAGTATTTGTTCCCTCTGTGAAATGTCTGCCCCACAGCATCCATGCATCCTCTCCATCCTGTACTCATCGGCAGTACCTACCGAATCCTCTCTTCTTCCAGACAAGAAAATTGGTCTTAATACTTTCTCGAGTCCGATGCGCGTACTGCCACTAAGCGAATAGGACCTTGAGACTCGTCTGAAGTCGTATTGCCTCAGAGGAGATGAAATTTTAACGCGGCCATGGGTTGTACCGCTGTAGGCACAGGCAGAACTGCAAAAGCACATAAGAATGTATTTTAAAATTCCTACTTAGGTACACTACTTGGTGAGGCGTTGATTGTATCCTTCCCGAAACAGATGTAAAGTGAAGTGCCTCGAAGGCAGATTCATCTTTCAGAATGATCAGATTAAACGGACGCCTTCTAGCTTATCATGGTGTAGTCTGTGACATGTTTGACAACGCTGACAACGGCGAGAATAAGATCACGTATGTGAAAGTCGCTTTAAAGAGTGGACAGTATCGTCCTCTCGATCTCCCGGCTACTTCCCATTCAACAGTCAAATTCTTTCATTTTCCGTGAAGCATCCTAAATGCGGCACCACGAAGGTGATGGAGGAGCAGAAGGGGGAAGAGGTGAAAAAATTAGAATTAAGCAGTTTGTCCCTTTCCCTATCTTTTTCTCCTTCTCACTACCTGCAATCCTAACTCAGCTATAAATATTTTCACAGTCAAGTTGTGTGTTTTGGGTCAACCCATTTTATTGCCCTCCTTTGTCAAAAAAAACATCATAACTTATCTTTTAAAGTGAGACTGTCATTTAACCCTCCATTATAGTCAGCTTAGACACGACGATCACAAATTTTAGTCTTGGTTAGAAGACAAATTCCCCAAAACAACGGCCTGACTGTCAAAGCTGTCAGTCAGTAGACATTTATTAGGGAGAAAAAAAAGAGACGAATGTCAACCTCATTTTTAGGGCGTAGAAGGCACCTTAAACTACTGCTTTTATTAGCAGATATTTTGACCTTATTTCAGCAAAAATTTAGACCCCTTTGACTTTTCTGACATTTGATGACAGGCAAATTGGTAAAGGCTACAATTATATCGCTTATATTTTGCCAGAAAAAGTCTTAAAAGAAAAATAACGGTGTTTGTTTGTTGGAAGAATTGCTGGTACAATTATTCGCTCCGTTTTAATGAGGAGGTACAAACTTACGACTTCCACTTTTATTCGCTACTTTACCTTTGGGAGCAAATGACAAATTCAAGGTCACCTCCAATATCCCGCCTGTCATGTCAACTCGCCATTGTCTGTAAAAATGTGTGCTGAGAAAACTGTGAAATAGATTTGTGCCTTCTGAAAGTATGAAGTGAAGGAGTGTGGAGATGGTGGAGGATGTGGACAAGGCAGGGACGTCCTGACTCCCTTCTAACTAAAGTACAAATCCCCTTATGGCTGTTTTATTGGTGCCGTGAGTAAGGTCTTGAGGTGTCACGCAAGAGTGACGCTTGCCTCCAAACCATTCCCTAATTACGACCCTTCCCCTACCCCCTCGCCTTACCTCGCACCGTACAGACTGATTCCAGCAGTGGGGGCCGAGCTGCCGAAAGAACTGAAGTTTGTGTTGCTGCTAGTGTAGAGTTAGTGACAGTTTTCTTCTCACATTTAAGGATTTTGAGGGAGAATAAACTGTTATTTTGCAGTGGTCCTCCGCTTTTTACGACGCTAGCGCATGGCGCCAAGAAAACTTTTATCCACTAAGGGGTGCATGAATAATGAATGTCATGTATGTCACCTAAGGTGAGGGCATAGTTGCTTTTGATTGTTTGCTAGTGAAGTAAATTAAATATTCATGTGTACATAAAAGGCGAAACTGGACTAAAATCCACTCACCTACACACACATTTTGACACTTGGTTGACTAAAACAACTTGTTCTAAAAACCGGCATATAGAATTGTCAAGGTGGAACTTTTGCTTTAGCTTACTGGCAAAGGGTGCCACCATGATGGGACTGCAAGTCGGATTGCCGGTCCAGATCCTGTGAATTTGAAGCACGGCGTGGTGGAAGGTATCAGGAAATCTGAGGGAGGGGAAGGCTTCAAGCACTCACACTCACCTCAGTTTTCCCAAAGGAAGACATTTGATGAAAACGACAAACCTTTCAAAATAAGCAATAGATCTGCTAATCATCATCCCAATCGTGGTGGTCCCAATTCCCTGTAAACCAGTAACGAGCCTGATGTGAAGTTGGCTGAAAGACGAAACTTTTCACGGAGTCGGAGGACACAAACACTCCTAAAAGTCCCTAGTTTTGAAAAATTAGCGCACGTAGAGGACCACATAATGTCTCCATATCAAAGACTCCTTAATACTGCAACTTTTACATTCTTTTTACCTTTTTCCTTTGATTAGCTCAAAAGTCCCGGTCACAATTGAACAGGGCTACAACCTTTGCACCTTTGAATAAAAATGGGTAAATTCCTAATCCAGGAATTGGCATAGACACGGAATCACGGAAAAGACATTGATTTCCAGTTCTGCTTGACGGAGGAAGACACTCAGGGGGCTTTGAATCACCCAGCTCTGGAGTTCCACTCTGTTTACTGCCTTTCTGCAGCAAAGCATCAGTTCACAAACTACTGAATTTTTAATCAGTCACCTGCTTCTATGTGACTGGCTGTTAGATTAAAAAAAGGTGAGGGAAATTGAAGAAGATCAAATTGCTCCGTCCAATTACACTTGCTGTCTATATATTGAGAGGTCTATGAAAAGTGGAAGAACATTTTCTTGTATTTTTTGACCTTTTTCAAGTGTTTAAGGTAATTTTATTATACTATTGCCTGTAAAACTTGTTTTCAACCGGTTTAACGTGTCATCCAGATTACGAGTCCTCTGTGATTGGAAATCAGATGACACTGATAGCTGAATGATTTAATGAGGGGCTTTAGGCAGTGGACTCGTCGTTTATTGGTTAGAGTGTTTTGTGGCCTTTTTGATTGGCTACCCAAGCCCTAATCTCTTTATGGTCATCTTGTACAATGGGATTATCAAGTGTGGGGCCTGGATTTTATCGATCTCCCAATCAGATAATCGATAAACAAAGGCTTCAAAACAGATATTTTTATTGATCGCCATACGATGGGCGCGTACGCGCATGGCGGCTAAATAGCGAAAACGGAGTCTGACTCACTCGATCGTCCTGGTCACGCGTAGTTATAGTAACCGATTGACCTTGGATTTCGAATGGTTATTAGCGCACTTAAAATGACCTCAGCCAATCAGGAGTGAGCAAGAGCACAGCTTCATAGGCGTGCGACGATAAGCCATCAGTTGACTGAGATATTTTTATGGGGTTTTAGGCATCCCCAAAAATAAACGCTTCTACTTTCAAATCTTATCTGATACTTATCGAGGATATCATGACGGTAAAACAGTCATTAATACTTTAAAGCACTTTTTTCACTAATCTATTTATTTCCCAGCCATTTAGATTGGCAGGCACGAAAAATGGAATTCCTTCTTGGCAAATCAAGATGTCTTACAATTTATACTTTGCCCTGACTCCCAGATCTCCTGAGCATTAATAATAATAATAAATTCTGCTCTAAATGGGAATGAGCATTGAATCAGGAAAGGTTTGAGACGTCTGACATACTGTTCTGTAAGTGATAATCAGTCTTTCCATTGAAATGGAGCTCTTCTCTGGAGTTCCAGTGTTAGTGGTAGGGCTCACCGTCCCTTCAAAAGCTGATCGCAGGATGTAGGAGTTCAGATAGGCCTTTATTTTCAGAAAAATATGGCTAAAAAGTGTCACCAAGGTAACGATCCAACTGCGGGAATCGAGGAACCTTCGCAGTCAAGCATTCCCCTTAAACCAATGTTTTTTTTGTTTACAGAGGCTGTTAATCGTCCACAGCGCTCTCCATGTCCTCTCTCTCTCTTGTACTCGGATCATCACGACCAAGGCAAGACGGTAGGTCGCATGCTGGCTCTCAAACAAGGGGAGTTGATATTTCCCTTTAACACCATTGGTGGACTTTGCCTGCTTCGGCAGATCCACCAATTCGACATTTGTGCAAGCGGTATTGTAGCAGTTCGCCGATTTTTTGCTGCTCAAGGCAGCTCGGTGTCCTACGGTGCGCTCATCTCGTAAACCAATCGCCGTTGGTGGGG